CTGACCCTTCGTCGACCATCCAGACAGGTTAGCGTATGCCGGGAAGTCATTAATTGTCCACATGACCATTGCCCGCATACAGAAAGACTCCTTACCATAAGCATCATAAGTGCTGACACCTTTTTCCCAGAGAAGCTTCAGGTCGTCAATTAATGGTTGGAGGAAAACATCGATGTCATTTCCAGGAGAATATCTTCCAGGGATCAAAAGTGACAGTATCATGTACGGTTGCTTCATGCACATCGACGGCGGCATGTTGTACGGTGTCAGCAACACTGGCCAGGTAGACCAAGCAGAGCTCATTAATCCAAACGGATTAAATCCGTCGCTAGCAAGCCCCAGCCTAATATTCCGAGACTCTTTACCGAAGTCGGGGTATATACGGTCAATGTGCTTCCATGCCTCACCGTCCGCAGGATGTCTTAGTTTCCCGTCCTCTTTACGGTCGGTCGAGTGCCATCGCATATTCTCAGCCAGCTCGGCAGACATATAAAACCGCTGCAGCCTAGGAATAATTGGAAAATATCGGAGAACCTTCGCAGGGATTCTGTTCTGCTTATTGGATGCACTGCCTTCGGATGTACCCGTATGTTTTTTCCAACGTGATACATGACACGTCGGACATTCCTCCAGAGCTTCATTACCCTTATTGTACAAGATGCAGTCATTAGGACAGGCGTCTATCTTTTTGTAATCAAGACCCAGGGTATCAACAATCTTGTGAGCTTCATAATAAGTTGCGGGGATGCTCTTCTCGCCGCCTGGAATGACTTTCCTGAGCAAGTCTAATAACATCTCGAAATGTGTAACAGCCATCCCACTGAGTGTTTGGATATGAAGAAGCCTCAGCATAAAAGAAAGCCTTGTGAACTCGGTGCAACCCTCGTATAACGGTGACTCGTTTTCTTCAACAAGTCTCATCAATCGGGCTACATCTTGAAACATATCAGTAGTGTTAACATCACTCGAAGACGGCACGGTAAGAATATCTTCCAACATATCAGTTGTGTCAATTGTCGGATTGTCGACATCAGTAAACTCTTCCTCTAATTGCATCACCGGGACGCCTTCACCGTGATGACTCCAAAATACATAAGAGCTATCAAATCCATTGATTGACAGATGGAAACTTACGTCACTCCTAGTGAGCATTTTATCATTCCTACAATTCTTACAAGGACAAAAAATCAACCCGCTGAGTGACCGTAGAGGGTTGGTGTCAGAGTAGGCTAAGAAAGCTTCTATCCCATCCTTGTATCGAGTGTCTAGATGCCTTCGATCACGTGGTATGCCCATGAACGATTTGTCAGGAATTGTCCGCATCTAGAATTTAAAAATTAATGGAAGTGAGCATATCCCTACATATATCATTTTAAGTTATAGGACAAGTGTGTGTGATCGGCTGTCAGAGGAAGGCTTCTATCCCATTAGGTATGTAAACGTAGCGTGTATATGTATTTACGTGTGTTCAAGTATTTGTCAGGAACTGTCCGCATCTATAATTTAAAAATTAATGGAAGTGAGCATATCCCGACATATATCATTTTAATTTAGGGATGTAAACATGTGTTCAGAGGACCGTATGTATGACCGGCTGTCAGAGGAAGGCTTCTATCCCATTAGGTATGTAAACGTGACGTGTATATGTATTTACGTGTGTTCAAGTGTACTATCATTTCGTCAAAATTTATGTGTGACCGGCTATCAGAGGAAGGCTTCTATCCCATTAGGTATGTAAACGTGACGTGTATATGTATTTACGTATGTTCAAGTGTACTTTCAATTCGCCAAAATTTTGGCAGCACCTACCCGCTGTTCTCCGAGTACACTATAGTGGGAAGGATATACTCATGCATATCCCTCCGCAATTTGTACACGGAGAACAACGAGTAAGCGCCGCCGAAACTCTGACGAAAAGAAAGTACACAAGAACACAAGTAAATACATATACACGCCATGTTTACATACCTAACCCGTCCAAACTGGACAGATCCAATAAATATTTATATATAAGCCCCCTCTCACATACGCGTACAAAAAAGTTATCGGACCAAACAAGATGGTTTCGTATCCGCCAACACGCTGACCCATTATCGATCCTCACCCTCACCCCCACCCTCACCCTCACCTAACCCTAAACCCTAACCCTTAACCTCAACCTCACCATCACCCCCACCCTCACCCTCACCTAACCCTAACCCTCACCCTCACCCTCCCCTAACCCTAGCCCTATCATTAACCCTCCCTCAAACTCACACTCACCCCTCACCCTCACCCCACCCTCACCTAACCCTAACCCTCACCCCCACCCTCACCCTCACCTAACCCTAACCCTAACCCTAACCCTTACCATCACCCCCACCCTCACATAACACTCCTCTAAACCCTAATCCTATCCCAAACCCTAACCCTAGCCTAACCCCAACCCTCACCCCCACCACCACCTAACCCTCCTCTAACCCTAATCCTAACCCTAACCCTAACGCTCGCCTAACCCTAACCGTAACCCTAACTGAACCATAACCCTAACCCTAACCGAACCCTAACCCTAACCCTAACCCTCGCCTAACCCTAACCATAACCCTAACCCTAATTAAAATTATTTTTTTATATTATAATTTCATCAATATGAACATTTTTTATTAGGGTTTGGGTTTTTTGCATAATTTATTTGTTTTACCAAAATTAAACAATAATTATAAAAATTAAATTAAAATTGCAAAAATAACAAATCCATCCCCCCCCCCCCTTCAATCTCTTCTCTCTCCGCTCCTCATGTACTCGTCGGCCGACGGCGGTGGCCGCGGCGTTGACGCAGGCTCGCGTGCGCGTGGGCGACAGCGAAGAGAGAGAGAGATAGAGAAGAGAGGAGAGATGAGAGGGGGGGATGAGAAAGAGAGATAGGAATTGAGGGGGGAATAGAGATTGACGTTGATTGAGAGAGAGGAGGAGAGAAGGGGCGGTGGGGCAGCGCGGCGAGGCGGCGAATGGGAGGGGCCGGCGGGATTCGCACACCAAGGAGGAGGGGGCGGCGGATTTCGACGGGCGGGGAGTGACAGGGGGGTGCGGGATTTCCGCGAGGGGGGTTTCGAGCAGCGGGGGGGGTTTCGCAGGGGGGGCGGATATCAGACAGAGGGGTTAGGACAGCGAGGGTTCCGAAAGGGGGAGGGGCGGGAATTCGATCGAGGGGGAGGTTTTGACGATAGGCGGGGGGGTTTCGACAGAGTGGTGTGACGCGCAACGGAAGGGAATCGCCGGAAAAGGGAATGATCGAGAAAGAGGAAGGCGAGGCGAGCGGACTAGGGCCGCAGCCGGCAGGGAGGCCAGAACAGGGCCAGAGGGAGAGGCCGGGGGGTTCGCCAGCGGGCGGAACAAGAGGAAAAAGGCGATTCGACGGGTGGGAAGATTAATTGGGTATTAATTTCGGGCGAGGGCTGCCAAAAAATTTGGCGCCCGGGCGGCAAAAATTTCCCGACGATGTTTTTAGCGACGGAAATATTCCGTCGCTAAACCCTACTATTCCGTCGCTATATCTATTTTAGCTACGGAATAATAGCGACAGAATTTTCCGTCTCGCTAAACCCTACTATTCCGTCGCTATATCTATTTTAGCTACGGAATAATAGCGACAGAATTTTCCGTCCCTATAAATAACATATAGCGACGGAAAATTCTGTCGCTATTATTCCGTAGCTAAAAACTCATTTTCTACTAGTGTCATTTGAGTGGTAATTTTGTAAATATTGAGATTCAAAGAGCAAATACCCATTGATATAAGAAGTGTGTATGCTTAATATCAGGCCCCTAAATTACCATAAAGTGTTGATATTGGTCTCTGCGGTTAGTTTGTCTGCCATTAATTGTTGAGGAATGTGAGGTGCTGGAGACTTGAGAGAGAGTGTGTGTGCATGGGAAGCTGGGGTTAGCAGCAACTGATGTTCTATGAATGTTTTGCATTTATTTCTTGAGTCTCATATCTCGAAGATTATTTGTAAAGTTTTTATTTTGTTGAGAAAATAGGAATTCTGTCCCTTTTATTTTAACTAGTTGGATTGCACGTGCAATGCACGTGGTAAATTTTTTTAATTTATTCTTTTGTTATTGATTCATTTCATTAAGATTTATTTAATTTAAACCATGTATCAAACATATGGATACATACATTGCATGTGATACATATTAAGAAACTACAAGAGTCAAAATTAATAATGTTTTCATAATTATGCATTGAACTTATACACAATACACAAGATGAATGTTTTCATAATTATGCATTGAACTTATACACAGTACATGTGGACAACTACAATTTAACTGACATGAGAATCCATATTAAAAACAAGTGCAAGTTTTCAACAATCTATACATGTTAAAGAAATAGAAAATACTACATTAATATTCTAACAGATGGTAACCTATCTTGAAGGACAAAAGAAGCGAGATATGGTAACTAACATCATAAAGAAATAAATTGCGACCCCCAAGTTGAAAGTATTTAACAAATGGGATGAGAATCATTCATATAGAATTCTTGAATAAAAGAATTAATCGCTTAATCTTTTCAGTACAGTCCAGTCTCAAGAATAATTTGGAGAACCCAGATCCATTAAAAACATTAATCGATCATTGATGACATTTTTCATGAAGAAGTTGGAAATCAATGCATGGATAAACAAGAACCACACTATTTACAAAGAACAATATAGGGAACATAATGGTTCCACCTACATTGTAAAGTTTCGTTATTAAACCCCCTCATAACAAGCTAGGAGGTGCAAGAGTTCTTTTTAGCCTGCACCTAGATTTTTATCCCAACATAGAGACAAGTATGAAAATTAAAATCAGTTTTTCTTTCAAAACTATTAAGATTAAGCAGTCACTTCCTCAATTTTCCTAAAACCAACATAGTCGTGATTCAAGAAGTATCCACATAAAACTACGTACGTGTTTGTGTGCCGTGCGTGCATGTAAAAGAGAGAGGAAAAGGGAAGCACATTATATCTGTAACTAATCCTCATTTGATAAAAATGTTGCCCAATTTGAGCTTCTTTTACATTGCTTCTACTATTTGTATGATGTATAAATTGTTGCCACTAAGGGGAGTGACCTATCCCCCTTGCAAAATGTGCTCTGTCGTGAGAAAAACAAGGACCACAATGCATGTTTAGACAGCATGGAACCTGATAATCCAGCCAGCCAAAATACACCACCTCTAACAACCCTCTTGCTTCTTAAGTCAGCTACCATCCTGAGTCAGCACTTGTCAATCTTTTCATATACAGACGATACAGCTATCTACAAAGAAACAGCAAAGGCACTAACACCCAAGTTTTGCCTGACAGCTGCTACTGATCGCAGAGACCCCTTTCCAGTGTGATTCCATCCTGGGATTCTTCTTAGAGTAGCTATCAGAAGACTCACCAGAAAGTTTTATTCAGAATACTCACCATGTCTTTTAACATGAACACGCAAGGGCAGAAACTGAGATATCGAGCACATGCTCTTAATCTTGTAGGGATGTCTGAGTAAGTGAGCTGGAAACAAAAAAAGCAATTGCAAGAACTTAAAGAACCAATCTCTCATATTATTTGGGTATCCCATATTATTCACAACATATGCTTAAAATACAAAGTGATAAAACATGAACTGATTTAGAGACTTTCCTAATCGTATCTTTCAGCAAGAAAACCAAAAGGAAAGTTGTCTTTCAAAAAAATAGTGAGTTTATTAGGAAAAACCTCACATCTTGCCTCATCCTTCTCCTCAGCTCTCCTACAACTCTATAGGCAGCTCCTTGCCCCCTTAGACCGGAGCTGGCCACAGTCAGACAATCCTGGAACAACCACTTTAATGTCATGTTCCTTATCTTCACCGTAAAACCAATCCCTGGCAATGTGAGGGTATAGTCGAATCGATGCATGCTTTAGATTGGGCACCTCTCCCCGTAGAAAAACCCCTGCCAGCAAACAAACATAAACAAAAGGAGAGTTAACAAAAAAACCAAATGGAGTATCTATACACATACAAATGAAGGGTTAAACTAAATTTGTACCTGTAGTGAAGAAATGGAAAAGGTTTCAAGATATGCACCGAATCGATGCAGGCTTTAGATTAGGCACCTCTCATCGTAGAAAAACCCCTGCCAGCAAACAAACATCAACAAAAGGAGAGGTAACAAAAAAAACCAAATGGAGTATCTATACACATACAAATGAAGGGTTAAACTAAATTTGCACCGATTCCAGGGAAAGACTAAATTAAGAGAAGGCCACGGACATTGATATTTTGTGATTATAAAATATCTTGGTTGTCCAATACTTTAGCAGCCAAGCATTCAGACAAATAATGCAAGAAGCTAATACTTGGAACTTCATAAAGCATTCAATAATGCTTCCAAATAAAGAAATATAATGGTCATGTAAATTATTCTATCACCATGCAACCATGAGGAAATGTAGTACCTTTGTGCATAATGGTTCATAAAGCTTCTGGTATTTCGCTTCAAGTGCTGCTCTTACCTCAAAAAATTTTGCCTCGAGCTCGTCATGTGCTGCTCTTACCTCAAAAAATTTTGCCTCGAGCTCGTCATGTTGACACTGGTTAAAAGAACAAATAAATGTCAACAACTAATAACTACAAATGAAATATAGCAAGAAGCAGTCAATCTCAAGTGAAGTATTAAATAAGATAGGAACCATGTAATTCAGAAAATAAAATAGAACTCTAATACTGAAGCATTATTCCATTTGCCCCTTAACATCTGAAGGCATGATACTGCCAGGAGTTGAGGGAGAGGGAGAACGAGAGAAAGTAAATCGTGAAGGAGAAGTTGGAGGATATTTAATTTATTTATTAATGCAAACAAACAGGAGAGTTTGAAAATCAAAGTTAAAAATTATTAGAAAAGAACTGGAGTGTTCTCGTATAAAATCATGTACTAATCGTATAAAACAATATGTTTCCTATAAAATTGTACCACTATATATACACGAGGTTATGTTACGAAGCCTCCCTTGCCAATTCAGAAAAGAACTTCTCATCGCACACTAAAAAAGCAAGAGCGTTCTCAGTAGAAGCACTAAGCAGACTTTTAGGGAACAAATGGACTAACAAAGAACCCAGTTTATAAAATATTTCCATGTTGATTGGCTTAGACACAGATTAGCAACTATTTTTTAATGAGGGCAATCATAATCCAAGTTGATATTCAAATTACCGTCTTATACTTCAATTCATACTTAGTTGTATGTTTTATTCCGGTGTTGATTGCCTATAAAACCATTCATTTCATTTCCATCTGCTTCAAACACAAGCCCTCTCCAAAAAACTCCTGTGACTCTGTAGGGCTACACATAACAAAACATCATCAATGTGCATTACAGAAAAATCAACAGTAGTGAGAGCTGATACCCACATGCCTAAGAATGAAGGGAAGCGTTTGCCGCTAAAGAGAGGACAGGTTATACGTCAGGTAGCCGGAATGATGATCGTAGTCATGACTCCGAGGAACTGCAAGCGAGAGAGAGAGAGTCTGTCAGTGAAACATCGAAGCATTAGACTCAGACAGATCGAGTATTCGCAGTGAAACTTTCTAGAAATTACATGAACCTCTGGAAAATTCAGTGAATTTTGTAGTTTTACATGAAGTTTCATGATCTGTAAAATTATGTGGGTCACAATGGTTTTTGAGTGCATATGGGGTTGTGATGATTAGGAGCATGATTTAGAACTTGATGAAGCCTAATAAATGTCAAAATGCAAGTTTCTCAAATTCAGAGGCAGAAAATTTTGCGATTTGTTTGACCAGTTGACTTGTGGCAATCAAAAGAAAATTATAGTCACATTTCATATATAAAAAAGGCATTAAATTTTCATGTTTGGTTCATATGTAGTCGAACTTACACTATTGAAATATGTACAAGAACAAGGATAAGCAAATGGATACTCATATTTGAGCTTGAATAATGTTTAGTGAATAGAACAAAACTGCTATTTCGAATGATGGCCAAAAACTCACGAAATTATGTCCGTATTGTTCTTCTCATTATTTTTAAAGAAACAAAGGTAATCATAATCCAAGTTGATACTCAGATTACTGTATTGTATTGAAATTTGAGTTAGTAACAGAAAATTACAACAGAGCTTTGTGGGGAAAAAAGTATTGAATTGTCATTTTTTATTCACATGTAGTCGAATTTACACTAATGAAGTGTGGCCAAGAAAAGGGTTAGCCGACACATTGAATAGAATGGAATGTGGCTTGGACAACAATTACATGATCAAATGAAAACCAAAAATTTCAACCAAATATATTATTAATGGACAGCTCAAGGTTTCTTCTTGCTAATTTTTAAATAAACAAGGTAATCATATATAATCCGAGTTGCTTGCTATTCTCAGCAAGTTTGATTAAGCGAGAGAAAAAGGTATTAATTGACATATGATTCGTATGAGTCGAATTTATACTATAGAAATATGTCCAAGAAAAAGGGTTGGCGAATGGATTTTCATGTACATGAATAGTTTGGACAACAATTTCGTGATCAAGATATATTTCTTCAAGCATGAATAGTTTGTAGCAAAAATGAAAAAGAAATGTGATGCAATGGTTTTGTAACGCTATATAGGTTATCCATCATTTTGTGAAACAGAACAAACTTACCTCACTTCTAGCAGAGCTGTCAATCATAACAGATAGTCTTACAGTAGGTGGTTGAATAGGAAGAAGTCATAATATTATCCAATCCGGACGATCATCTTTCGGTTTGAAACCTAGTAGTAGGCAATCTTCATTGATTATTCTTTTAAGAACACTGAGAACTTGGCCATGTCATAAAACAGAAACAAATAAATTTGGACTACTAAAAGAAATAAATTAGAATAACAATTTTGCAAAATTAGCTACCTTCTCTGTAGAAAGCTATTGTTTCCTCTCAACAGGTTCAGGAAGCTGTGCTTGGTCATCAGATTTCTTGCAAAGGACTCATCAACAATAGTTTGTGTGCAGTATAGATAAGTAAAAAATAGTTGACATGCAAATTTAAAGTAATAAAGTGAACTATTCTCTGAATATGTATTTAGATTCACACAATTGAATGTTAAATTTAAGCTAATAAATGCAATAACAATCAAAGCATGCAATAGTTATCAAACAACTATATGAGCATATGTTTATAAATCATGTTAAAAGCAAAAAAAGCATCTAGCTCTACACGAGAGAAAATCACAAGAAAAAGGAAGAAAAAGGAAATATAAAAGCAATAACAAAGATGAGAAAATCATTTTAGGAAAATGGAAAAGAAAAAAGTGCAGAACACAAACACCCTTGCTTCTGAGGCTCAATGCAAATGCAACACATATTGGAAACAAGACATGCTTGAGGGTCATCAGATCATAAGTCTTGAGGCTCAATGCAAATGCAACACATATTGGAAACAAGACATGCTTGAGGGTCATCAGATCATAAGTCTTTGAAGTGTGATTTTTATTCTCAAAGTTATAAGCACTGAACGAACATTTCAAACACAAATAAAATCAAAGCAAAGGTAAATTTGAGAAAATTTATGAAAACAAAAATTTCAAAAGATGAAACCAAACTTCTGAAGTTCAATGCATATACAACAATTAATTAATGGACGGAATTGAAAAAAAAAGAAGGGAAAAAAAAGATCATGCATGAGGGACATGACATATAAGTCTCAACAGCATATAGTTGTTCCCGTATTCATAGTTGTTAAAAAATAAAATATGAAAACAATGGGCACTCAGAATGAAAAGGACTTGTACTGCTGCTCATAGTTCAACGAAACTCATATATGAATAATTTCATTTCCTCATCGTACCCACCTAATCTAGGAATAAAGCTGAGAAAAAGATTATAGGAGAAAAAAATTCAGAAGACAAACCCTGCAAGGAATATTTATCAGACAGATATAGGGAAAAAACAACAGCATCACAGATGAGGGAAATGACATTACAAGTCTCAATATCACATACTATACCCGAAGTCATAGTTGTTAAAAAAAATATAACAATTGAATTTTTTCCTGATGAAACTGACAAAGGAGCAAGATGAAGACTTGAAGCAAGCCCTAATTCGGACAATCTTTGACCTATTGTGGAATTAGAACAAAATGAGATGATGGCTAATTAGAACAAAATTAAATGAAGAGGAAAAAAGTAAAATCATTCTAACCGATGCCAAAATTCTGACAACTGAGGAGATGCGGAGGCACAACGTTGATGATTAGAGCAATAACAATCATCTTTGGAGATTGATGGCTTAAGATCGTGGGACGACGTAACGGAAGAACTGAGAAGATGGGCGGAGAAGGAGGGTAACTGATGAACTGGTGAATTGATTTCATCTTTAAAACTTGGTGTAGGTAACGGAAGATCAGAGGAGGGTTCGTAATCGATCGATGAATTGAAAGGATGAGGAATATAGGCGTAACCGATGAAAGGGTAAAGTAGTTTATGAATTCAGGATATGTTGGTAATTAAATTTGGTGGAAGGCCATTTTGGGGAGGGTAAAGTTTTTCATGAACTCCCTCTTTTAAAGGGTACTATACTAGTTTTTATGCACGTGCAATGCACGTGGTCAAATATTATAATTGTTGATTTTTAGTTTATGTATTTACTATAACATAGTTACAAAAAGTTTATTATTATCATAATATATTAAAAAGTTTCAGATATTTCAATATATAAGATCTTGTTGGTTTCAACATTTTACCTTTCACATAATTAGTGAGGTTTGAAGTCTTAAAATATGAATGATCTAAGAGCAATTTAATGATTTCGAATTTTAATTTTAAAATATTAATGATGTAAGCACCAATATCTAAAAAACTATTATTATTAAAATATATATATATCTTAAATTCATCAACGTAAAATGATAAGTTTATCTGGTCATAGAGGATTTTGTTTAATTATAAAGAAATCACTTGCGTCTATTGTCTACTTCCACTTTCTATTATCTGGTGACCGAGTATTATAGATATTCAAAAACTTTTTTATAGAATTTTCAAAGTTAGAATGTGCAAATTCAATCAAGAAAGAAAATATAAATTATGTGATCAATTCTAAAATATGATATTATAACCTTCCTACATCTTCTCAACTAATTAATTAATTTGTCAAAAAGATTACTCTCTAATTTTAGAAAACTATAAAATATAATTTGAGAATGATTTAAACATATTTTGTACACATGGATTGTATTTTAACAAAATAATATAGATCTATCCAATATTAAATAATATCCAAAATTTTATGCTAAAGAGTTAAAAGAATCTAATAACACTCATATCCAAACTGTATGCTTCATAAATGTGAGACATATAAAATAAATAACTTAATTTATTTTGTTAAATAATTTATTACAAATCATAAAAGATAAGGAGAACCATAAGGATCACATAGTCATCCCAAATAAAGATTAAATATCTCTCTGTGAATTTTGTAGCAAAAAATTTTTAGATATACTGATAGACTTGCTATAAAATCCACTCTTATAAGATTGATGTCACATGTGTCTTAAATTATGCTTTGTTTAAGGGTTGTTTTTAGAAAACTTCCCCTCAACTATGGGGAAATGTTAAATCCCCCCCCCCCCCCCCCTCAACTACTTGAAATGAGTAAATGTTTGTTTATCAAATTTGGGGTGTTATAGTTGATCTATCTCAACTTCAAAATTTTGATTTAACCTTATAAACTTTTCTCAATTAACCCCTCAAAACTAATAACATTGAGCGGAATTCATTATGTGATAAGTACTTGAGTTGAAAAGACCAAAATATCCGTCAACCATAAAAGAATTAGCTTGGTTTTTTTTCTAGATGAAAGAAAAAGTGAAGATTTAGAGGTAAAAAGAATTATAAATTAGTTGTAATCCTTTTATTATCGGTTGAGAGTTTCTTTTAACTAAAATGGATTTCTTTAATAGGGCATTTTGACAAAATCACTTATTAAAGTCTTTTACATTAAGGGGATTTCTTAAGAGATGTGTAAAAGACCAGGAGAGTTTTTATAAGACACGCTAAGTCGAAGGGTGTTTTCTAAAATCGCATCAAAGTTGAGAATGTTTATCTACAAACACCTCTATAGTTAGGAGGCTCTGTCATGTCAAATTAAATTAGTTAAGTGGTTTTTTGAGACATTCCCCATACTTGAGAGAGTTTTCAAAGAATTAACTATTCTTTTAAATTTAGCTCAAATATTTTATAATTCTATATTATTACCTAAATTATAAGCAATTTCAAAATTTTAAGGGAATAATGTAGAATTGTTAGAGATTTAAAATCAATGAAATGATATCTAAATTACCTTTAAATATTGCTCTTATAGGCAATATATGAAACATTGGCCGATATATCGCTCTATCGACTGATTTAAAAGGGTAAATACTTTATCTTAATAATATTTATGGTTTTATATTATTATTTTTTGAGGATTTTTCTCATATATTGATCATTATCGAAAATATTGGATGATATAACAAAATCGAGTCATTTTTAATTTGATTGTAAGCTTGGTATTATGTTGTGTTTGGAAACCAAAACTAAAGCACAAGTCACAAAAGTCGCAATTCATATCCTAATCTCTCTACTTTCAGCTCTCCCAAATCTCAAGCACATATATTAACGCAAATTCTTATGTTGGATATTCATCAATATCTGATATTATAGATTAAAATATTGTATTATGTATGAGCATTATCTCATATGACACCCTGATATTTTTTACATAACCCCGATTATTGCAACCTAATATCATGGATTTTATTTGTCCAGCATTTATATGATGCCCAACATTTTATAGTAGTCCTCCGAAAGCCTCTTCTAAAGTTTTCTAAGCAAAGTATATAAATTCAGAAATAATTCATAATCTTAAGATTATTCAAAATATGATGCTTTAATTTTCCCATATTTCCTCTAGTATATAAATATAAGCTAACCCTTTGGCCTCATATTATATGATGAATATTATTTATCAAAGGGATCACATACTATTGCTTGTGGTTAACAAAGGTTTTAAATCTTTATTGGCTTAATTAAATTACATACCTTACAGTTTATAAATGTTTCAATTACATACCTCCATTTGTATCTTGTTGCACTTAAATATCCTAATGTTTTTAAAATTGCATGTTTGTACCTTTATATGCAAGAATACTATTTGTAATTTTCCTATATGAATATAATGATATAAGTTTAGGATAATTCTATATTTTCTACTCTTTCCATTAATAATTTATTAACATACAATTGTCTATTAATATATTATTAGGTATTACTAATAATTAATATGAGAGTTTCACAATCACATTAGAAGTTTAAGGGACCAAGTTAGACAAACTTGAAGTGACATATAATATGATTAATTAACAATAATGATTAATTTAGTTTAGTTAGGATTAAAATATAATATTTAAAAAATAGGGGTAATATAGTCCATAGAAAGTTTTTTCTACAACTTCCTCTTTTAAAGGGAGTATGATTCTAAGTGAAGTATATAATTTCATTTATAATTCAAAATCTTGAAACTTATTCAAAATATGATGCTTAAATTTTTCCACATCTTCTGTACTATATAAATATAAGCTAAACCTCTAGCCTCATATTATACGATGTATATTATTTATCAAAAGAATCACATACTATTGTTTGTGTTTAACAAAGGCTTCGAATCTTTATAGTCTTAATTAAACATAAATAGCTTACAACTTACGAAAGTTACACGCATATACCTCCACTTATATCTTAGTGCACTTAGATCTTCTAATATTTTCTAAAATTGGATGTTTGTACTTATGTACGTAAGAATACTCTTTATAATTTTCCTATGTGAGTGTCACGATATAATTTTAGGACAATTCTATATTTTGTACTCATTCCAAAATAATTTATTAACTTGCAATTGTCTATCAATATAGTATTATGCATTATTAATAATTAATATGAGAGTTTTACAATAACATTGGAAGTTTTAGAGCCAAGTTAGACAAAATTGAAGTGGCATGTAATATGATTAATTAATAATGATAATTAATTTAGTTAATTTATGATTAGAATATAATAACAAAAAAGAATAGGGGCAATATAGTCCATACAAAGTTTTTTCACAACTCCCTCTTTTAAAGGGAGTATGATATGATATGATAATAAATAAATTATCAATTAATTAACTTTATTAAAATTATAAGATTTTACAAAAGACAATAT